TTCAAAAGATCACTGGTATGGTGATGTCCAGTTCCATTTTGCATCCTTTTTTAGCAGTTCGTTCAGAGGAGCGCGCAGGCGGTGCATGTCTGCAGAAGGGCTGCGTAGTGGCTCATGAGTCCTAAAAAGGACCTTAGCGAACTGACATCGTGTGGCGGAGGCATTTTATCGATGGCCGCAATGTTAGAGGGATCGGGGCGACGACCATGTCTATCGATGATTAATCCAAGTTGGAGAGAACAGAGGTTGAAGCCACAGTCAGCGTGTATTCTTCGATAAGTTGTCGATATGTCAAAAAAAGTATAGAACTAATCGTGCATACGAGGACGGCGCAGTGACGCACCAATCAGGTATTGTCCTTGACATATCGATTGATCGATTGGACAAACGTTGGCTGACACGTTCTGTGATCATCCAATTAGGTTAAGTCTGTCTGGAGCGTTACGAGCGTGCGTGTGGCCTGACTCGGAGGCGTGCGCAATCGGACGGGTTTCTTATGCTTCTTCCTAACAAAAAATTTGTACCATCAGCGTCTAAATTCCATTTGAACATTGAGCTTATATACTATCTAATTGAATTGAGAAACTGTCACTCTGAATTGAGAAAGAATCACTGTGGTTTTATCCGCTTCTGCGAAGCGCACCTTATTGGTCGATCGGTCACATGTTTTTCACCCCCTGATTGACAGCCTACCTACCCACGCTTAGTCTGTGTTAAACTGAGGCAGACCTCATCCTTGCATCTTGTTTGGCTGGCTGACTGACGTCGGTGGGTTAGTGAAGCCGTGTGATTTGAGAAACAGCTAAGTTAGACTCGTCAACGAGCTCGCCAAGATGCAAGACTGCTTCATTTACACACAGAAATAGAGTGAGAAGACAGGTTGTCTGTCAGGGGATGATCAGCCGTGTGATTAATTGACCAATAGGGTGCACTGAACGGAGGTAGATTCAATCAGTGTTCGTTTCTCAATTCAGAGTGATTTCACAAATCCATGCAATAGTTTGACAAATCAATCTTCAAATGGTATAGACGTCCATTCTTTTGTTCGCTTTCGCTGTTGCCAGTGTATGCTGTACCCAATCGATACATTCGTTATGACCGGTGTTGGTGGCGGATTAAATTTAACACGTGATGCTATAACATGTGATTCATGAATTCGAAAGGGGGGCGTTGGACCCAGGATACGATAACCTTTGGCGAGTGACCTGATCAATGTCATTAAAGCTCGACGTTCGGATTATAAAAACGAGCTGTTTAATTGTTTTGAAGTTTATGTTTTCTCAGGGTTATAACAATATGCAAATCGAATTCGTGTATTTGAAATGTGTCGTGGATGATGCGACAAACCAGCTAAGTTAACACTCATGGCTATGAATGAGGCTGATCGGAGTGGCACTGTTTCACAAAAGAATGCACTTTTGACTTTAAAAACATGGTTTTTACGTTGTCTTGAATTTCAATTGTTTAAGAGTAGCTGTATATGTCGTTATCTTTGTTGATTTATTTTATTAGCCTCGTTCCACAAACGGAACCAAGTGACTTATACCTCCGGATATACTTTTCACTGCCCAAATGCAAAGTGCATATGAAAACCTGGCAGGAGTGTATGCCTAAACTCACCGTTTTTGGTGATTAGCTAGAATAAGTTGAGAGCTACAATTATTCAGAAAGCTTGACCGCGGCTAGAAGTGGTGCTGGAAAAGAGGTTTCATCACGACTGAAGAAGGTTGTAAGTCAACGCGATTCGTAGTGTTTTGGTTTACGGTTGCGAAAAGCTGACCTCTCTGTACCGCGGATGATGGTCTACGTTTTCGAAGCATTGTTGGTGTTTGATGGGACTCGGGGTGAACAGTGAGGAGATTCACTGGATGCTTGCTATTAGTAGTCCTCTGAAATAACAAGTATTCTTAAACGGTCTCTGATGACTACGTCGTATTTAGCCCGCCCATCACACAAATACACACACAAACACAAGTTTTCTCTACAAATGAACATAGTAATCCTTTTGCCCACTGTCGTAAACGGTTCATCCATACTACTTTACATCCCTAGTGCATTTTTTCTGTATTCACTTGATACCAAGTTCAAATATCTGCTATTTAGAATACATAAACGCATTTTGAGGTATTAATAGAGATCAGTACCTTTCTATTCTTGCAGGCCCTGAAGTCTCACCTACCGTTACCCTCCTAAATAACCTGATTAATTTTGAAACCACATGAACTTATGTGACATCTAGTCCATTTACTCATCTGTTGTATTTTATCCAGAGTTCACATTTGTCACCACGTTTTCCCTCAACCTGACTGAATCACAAAATACTGTCTGAGGTTGTCACCCGCCTAATCCCGTATTATCTAGCTGTGATTTTATCTCTTCCGCTCCTCACTCCAAGTACAAATAGCTTAGAGCAGGTATGAATACATATAACTCTTTCATAGTTGCTTATCTTCATCTGTTATATGTCACCTGGATCATGGGTTTCCTAATTTGCATCAACAGGAGGTTCAGAAATTCGTGATGCATGAGGATCATCTAAACCTCGATGGAGGCTTCAAAAGTACATGGACCTGTCAGCCCTTACGACATCAACTAGACAGCTTGATTGATGCTGTGATAGCGTGATATGATACTCAGACAAATTGAAATGATATTCGGACAATTCAAATCAAAAAAGGTATAGTGTGCAATAAGATGAACACTGTAATCCACCACTTCACGTTGAGTCCAGTTATGTTACTTGGCAGACTGGAATGTCATGTTCGTATTGTTCAAAGTTCAATGAGATTTGAACCCACACACTGAGGCAGACCATGCTTTTGCACAGTGCAGTTCCTATCAGTTAAGCCACGATGATACGCTGTATAATGCGTAGGCGCCGATACTGCATGTGTTCGAATCTCACCAGGAATTCTGAACTTATCGCAATTCAAACACTTCAAGTTTAGTTTGACAAACTCGCACTTAGAGTTTAAAAAAAACTATCACATCAATTGGGAATAGAAGGTTACCGTTAGATCTGAAATGTAAGCATATATGCTCAGACAAGTTATACAAATACAAATACAATATAGATCCGTATTCGTTCAGAGCACCTCGATCAATTAGTCGTACATTTTCTCCCCCCTCCCGGCGGATTGATCAACTTTATTTGCACGCTCATTCTCTGTCGGAATAAGACAGATCTCGGTCTGGTGTCTTGTCACGCTTGTGAAGGGACGTTAATTTGGTGGATCGGTGAATCCCCGTGGTTTGGGCGAGACAGCGAAGCTGACCTCAAACTGATCAACACACTTGGTGACGCACTGTTTATTGCGATCTAAAACTATGGCAAAGCTATTCGCGGTTCGCTCCGACATTGATGACAGCTCAATCAATTACCACTGTACCCACAATCAGGAACGAGTAAAGTGCTTGCGGTGTACTTTTAATTATGCACTTTCCACGTCGTGGATCATGGGATTATTCACATGACAAAACATGTTGAGAGGATTTGGTCGGAGTTATTGATGTAGCCCTTATTCAATAATCAATATAACTGAAAAAGAAACAGAAAGGATTTTGTTTTAGATGTGAAATAATTCCGGACTGAATAGTCATGAGAACAAGAAATAGCAAACAGGCTCGCTTTAGGTGCTACATCATAGATTAAATAATAGATTAAACAGGCGGTGAGAAGAGACACATATCCGTGAAGGAAATCAGAGTTTAAAAAGTATGATGGGATTGTGATAATCAATGTTTGTGTGTGTGTGTGTGTGTGTGTGTGTATTTCTGTATATGCGTCGAAAGTGGAAGATAGAGGGTGGTTGTGAATGGGTGAGTAGAGGAATGAATGGGAGTTCACGAACGGAGGTTACATCACGAGATTGTTAGCGGACGGCCGTGGTAAGACCAATGGTCTTATAAACTGTTTCTGGGTCCACAAGGGATGTGTGTGTGTGTGTGTGTGTGTGTGTGTGTGTGTGTGGAGACGGATGACAATCACCTCGGCTGTTGACAAAATTCTGGACCTGATTTCTTTGCAAGATCGTGGTTGGATAACGGAGGTCCACTTGATATTTAAACGGGACACTCATTGACGGATGAAGTAGTGTATCGCAAAGAATATCCCGCAGAAGAATATAATATTAAAGTGAGCGAACAATTAATTGCTGCCAGAATCAACTGTGGCGTTCTTTTTAAAAAAATACAAGGCGATTCGACGAAAATAAACAGCAGTACGTTCTGTATACGTTGTTCAAAAAGAAATACTTGGTAAGTGAAAACGTGAAGCAACAAAATGCGGTTAGTGCACGTTGTTCTCTTGTTTCATTCTAGCCAAAACTATCCAGACGAAAAAGCCCATTATTGCGTGCTCCAGATAAAGAAACATGAGAGCTGTTGTGATAGAACATTAAACAAGCAACTTGTCAACTAATCTTTTTCACTCCCATTCCAGAATTTTCTATTACGATCCACCCGCATGCGATGCGGATGGTCCACTGTTGGTTATCGGACTTGGTGTGAGTCGAACGGGGACTCTCAGTCTCAAAATGGCCCTCGAGCTCCTGTTAGGACAGCCTTGCTATCATTCACTGGAGATCAGTCAGAACCACCGGGTTCATGCTGTTCGATGGTGCAAGATCTTAGAACGACTCAAACAAGACCCAGAGGCGACAATCACAGCGGATGAAATCCAACCATTTTTTAAGGGTTATCGTGCGGCAACTGGTCATCCAGCATGTGCAATGCATCGGCAGTTGATGGAGGTTTATCCAGAGTCGAAAGTAAGTTCATGTGTGATCGACAAACTCCGGCACATGGTTGTTGTAATTCCGTTAAACAACTTGCAATCAAACAGTGTGTGTAGCCTAGCTAGTGGTTTCGATACGAATAATATTGGCTTCTCAAGAGAAAACGTGTTCTCGAGGTGATCGAGTCCGTGTCTGTAACTGCCTACCCGTGTGTATCCGATCAGTTTAATGTTGAACCCTTGCCAGGGGACCTATATATAGGTCGACCGAACCAATCCATGTGTATCCGGTTAACATAAGCTCTCAGTTATCAGACAATCTTGTGTACCATAACGAACAGATTCAAATATTACAATAAAACCGGAAGATTTATTTTATAGATTGTTCACATTCGGAAATTGAATTCTTGGTTTGGAAGGCCCGGAGGTTCTTTATGTACGCATCCATCGAATACTGACACATCAAGACAGCCTATTCGAGTCCGGGATGAGAAGAGAGCTAATTAATTTTGTCAGGTGACTTCAAGCGGTGAATATAAACTGGCGCAAACCTGAGCATCCAATGAGCAATTAGGAGGTCAGTTTCTCTCGCCATTGAAATTGCATTGAATCTAAGGTTATGCAAAGTACATTCGTTTCCCCAAATTTATAACTTTTTACACTATGTTAAGGTATCACTAATCAATGGTAAGTCTTTAGGGCGTCGTGTATTGTGTTGTGTTGTATTGCATTGCACTGTATGGTATTTTATCGAAGCTTTAGCTTTCAGTCTTGTAATTTTTGTTAGAAATCATGTGCGTTATGCCTTCATCGAATCCGCTGGGTGTCGTCCCCGGGGATGAGGTGCTGTTAGTCCTGTGCAGTGAATGACTAGGTGGTACTTCTCTGGGTCCTTCTGGGGTAGTCCTAGTCATTAACTCATAGAATCAACAACTGACGTACCACAGTTCGAATCGCACTGAATTCCGTGGTTATGCCGAATGAAACAAGAATTAGCTTTTGGGGTCTCAGTGTTGAGCAGCATAATTTGGGAAGCATTCGTTTGCAGAAAGAAAACTCAACGGAAAGTGAAATAAAAAGGAATTCAGTTTGGAGGGTTGTTTTAGGAAATTAGATGAACAAGGCCAAGATACTTTCGAGTAACTCATTGAAGTTGTTTGACTTGGGTTCGTTATCAATCTAAATATGAGTAAAACAAGTATTTCCCAAAGAGAATTTGAACGAAGAACACAACACTGCATGTCAGCACAATTTAATTCTGGAATCATTTCGCTGCGTCAAGATAGCGCTCACTGCAGAAAACGAAGTAGTTCATATCTCATTGGCATGCCAATCTAACATAGTAATAATTCACTCTTCTACTTCCGCAGTCACCTGGGCAATGCCAGACTGATGCGAACCTTCTTCAGCTGACAAATCGTGGGCTTCAGGTGCTTGATTGCTACGGTCTCTGCGAATCCTAGCAGCCTTCCATTTGGGGTTGTGTTGCCAACCTGAAACGAACTTCTGCGATTGGCTGGATGTCCAGTCTGCGACAGATGGCGAGCAATGTATGACGCAGTTGTTCTGTGGGAATGGCAGCTTGTGTAGCGCTTAATCACATTCGCTCGCGTTCGGCCTACGCTGATGCACAGCTGCCTCTCTGTTCTGCCCACCTAGGAAGGTCTGCACCCAAACTGAAGTTCATGGATGCCGTGCGATTTGCCGGACAGAGGGAGCGGTGATTTCACCTAGACCTTCTAAATTTTGGTTGTGTTGCGGAGCGAACGACCAGATTCGCAGTGAAATATGTGCAAACTTCGTTCGCCAACAGCCGTCTTCGTATGAGTTCGCCTAAATCATTGCTGCTGAAAGGGAGTGGGATGGTGACGTCATACTTTGGTACGATAAGCCCCGAAGGCTTGGACTTGGCTTTTTCAGTGCACCTTTGTGTGAAATTTGCTGGGTAACCAGTGAGCTTCCGAGCTACCTTGAGCTGAATTTGCTCTCTGTCCAAATTATCCGAAGTTCACAGCCTCCTAGTTTGATCAAACAGGGTACACATGGGTCCTCATCCGTACTGGATTGGAGCAAAACTCCCAAAATACATTTACTGACCGGTCCACTTGGATGTACAAGGTATATTTTGTGCCATAGATGTGCCCAGGCACTCTGTAAAGAATACGAAAAGATTTATCTACTGCAATCGAATGGCGTGACTTGATAAGTAAGCAGCTATCGAATGAGAGATTGCTCTGTTTATCTCGCTTCCGACAGAAGCACAAGTAATACAACAGGTGCGCCGAGTTTATCAACTGAAGCAATTTATCTTGGTTCTCGAAGCTAAAGAAAGGCGCATATAGGGACTGGCATCCGATGGTAAGCAAATTTAATTTGCCTTTTAATGAAGGGTACAAACACCCAGTTTCATGGTAAATACATGCACGTGTGATTTCCCGAGAGTAAATATTCGAAAAGAAAGAGTTTTATTTGCGTAACTCATGAGATAAGTTGATTACTGATGATTAATTCAATACTTATGAACTGACTATCTTTCATAACAATTTCAGTTCATTTTACCCTATCGAGATAGCCGCAGTTGGTTGAGAAGCATACGAGAGACTGTCATGCCACACAAAGCACATTTTCCTCCTAATTGTATCGGTCGGTTGGGCGAACGAATCTTGTTCGGGGCCAAATTTATGCACATGAATCTATTATCGTTGCACTACGCCATGGGCTGGGGCGTGGATCTCACAAACGACTCGCAGTGTGCACTCGCATTTGAACTTCGGGCCGAGGAGATTATTCAAACCATACCGGAAGAAAGGCTGTTGATTTATCGTATGGCCGATGGTTGGGAACCACTGTGCCGTTTTCTGAACATGCCCGTTCCGAATATTGCGTTTCCGCAAGTCAGTTCACGGGATGAGACGCGTTGCATGATTGGGAAAATTCGTCAGAAAGCAACCATTATATTTGGGGGTTTCGTTTTTGTAATTCTTATGATTACAGCTTTGTGCATTCTGCTAATAATTTATTTGTCAAAGATTCGGTAAAAAGCATTTTCTAAAATGAATTTCCACGGTTCTTGGATGGTTTCGTAGCTGTGTAAGTGTGTGTGCTGTATGGCGGGAATTATCTAGCCGAATTGTATGGAAAGGTTTGGAGAGTGAACGGCATCGTTGATTCTATCCATGCATCTATCAATGGAAACCGTGATCGTTCAGCTAAGTGGTCTCAACCATTACCACTGAACTGAAATACGCGGTTTGATTGACCGAATTAGCTAACAAAAGTTTTGGATTTCGATCGACTGACAGGAGAGTAAGCCAAAGCCAAAGTCAAAGTTTTATTATGGGAGATTTAACAAAGCTAAAGCTTATCGTGCCCCATAGGATTTCTACAGAACCTTTTGAATAACTTCGCAAAGAGAAAATATTAATGATAGTAATTTACATGATCACTCACGGATGTTGAAATTTTGAGTGTTTCAATGCTTTATCAAGTTGTGATTTAAATAGTTCGACTGTAGGGGCACACACTACATCAGATGGAAGAGAATCCCACACGCCGCACACTCTGACTGCAAACGAGTGATGCTGGCAATCAAGGTAGCTGTTCTGGGTCTTCAACTTCAGTGGATGTCACCTGAGGTGATTATTACGAGATAAAGTCAGAATAGAACGGCTAGGGTGGTTGGGTTGATGCAGTATGTGATGTGCAAAGATTAGGTCCTCCAGAAGTCAGCGGTATTGAGACAAGTAGAGTCCCAAGATTTGCAGTCTTTTGGAGTATGCCTTGTTATACAAACCGTTTACTAATTTTGTTGCCAGCCTTTGCGGACGTTCTAGAGCCTTCTTGTCGCTGTTCAACCATGAATTCCATACTTGAACGGCGTACTCCGTGTGTGACCAAACGAACGCTGATANTGATAGCAAGCGTGGGAACAGTGCTCTTTCGAACTGCCCGAAAACACGTCTGAGTAGCCCAACTTGGTTTATAGCCATGAATGATGCTCAGGCACAGTGCGTCCTCCTGTACCATAACTCCCAAATCCCTTTAGTCAGTGAAATGTGGTAGTATTTGGTTCCCCAGAACATAGGAGAAACGAGTCTTTTGCCGCATGGAAATAACTCTGCATTTTTAAANATTGGCGATTGACCATCGGTGGGCTGCGTTGATCGTTTATTTGAGTGCTATATAATGCTCAGAATGTGTTACAGTTCTCCCGATCTTAGCGTCTTCCGCAAATAGCAGTGTATTAAGTCCAAGGACAGGTCGTTTATAAATGCAAGAAAGAGACCATGTCCCGGCACAGATCCTTGAGGAACCCCTCAGGCAGCGGGTGATAGGCTGAGATAATGAATCACCAATACGAACTGACATGGTCCTTTGACGGAGAAACTCCATTATCCAATCCAGAACAAAACCTCTTACTTCGTAGCTGTAGAGTTTTCGCAGTAGAATTTGATGGTTAACTCAATCAACTGCTTCTGAGAAGTTCAAGTAAACTATATCCAATGGCTGGCCTTCATCGGCGGATTTTTCCCACTCATCTCGTGCAAGAAGTAGATTTGTGGTGCACGAACGCTTGCACCGAACTCGTGCTGAGTTGAAGACAAAATCTCATGCTTCCCCGGATGCTCCATCAACAGATGTGCCACAGTAGCTTCCATGACTTTCGACAATATCGCAAGAAGTGTAACAGGGCGGTAATTGGCGGGATCATTGACATAGCCCCCTTTTTAAATGGGGAATCACCCCGCTGTGCTCAAAAATCATCTGACACTTGGTAAGGACCACAATTACCGAAGCAGATCCTTCCGTTGTTCACTGGCTACGACTATGTTTATCGAATTGTGAATAAGCATAAACGCAGTCAGATTTAGGAGACAATCCATACACATGTGATGGAAAGGGATAGTTTTCACTGTTTAGTGATTAGTAAGCACTTGCTTATGCCACCCCGGATAGCTTTCGTGGTTTTGCCTTTATTCAATCCGAGGCGAGTGTGCAGTGGATGATTTAACATGGATTGAGAATTTTTTAGATTTGACAAACCCTCTATCTGTGTTGGGAAATCGTTTCCCCAAAATCATTGTCACCGTTGCTTGGGAATGCATGCTTGCGTTGGCGTTTCACTGTTAAGTTTCCAGGGATAAGAAAAGTCTCTCATTCTGGTTAACCTGTAACAAATTATTATAGTGCAAAAAGTCTGCAGACAGTTGGTTCTCACGACTTCTCGAGGTGATACTGAGATCACGTTTCACTTACCCCTAAGTTCGCATTGGTGGTTCCTCACGGAAAATGCCCTGCCGCATCAGAGTTGGATAACCGCATTCATCACAAAGAGATCTGTACTGCAAAACTCGTGGAACAGGAATTGACGAGGGAAAACAACTCCATTACAGAATTGTTGGTCAAAAAGAAACCCCCTATGATCCACCGGTTAGAGGTCTCTGAGTGAATTGATCCGAACGGAGCACTAGCCCATTATCTTTCGTTCGTTGGATGGACTGACACGGAAAATCGTGGACATGCCAGATAATGAACTTTTACACGTCGTTCACAAATACGGTTCACGTAGATTGTTTCTTGAGCCTGACCAAATTCTCAAGGTGACAAATTTTTAAACAAAACAACAGAGTGGCGAATAAGCTCGTTTTCAGAGATTCGTATTCATGCCAATACATCTCAATATATATCACTACTTGGGAATAAAATTGTCATGGGAAAATAAAATAAAATAAAAACGTAGATTACTAAAACCGATTCATCATGAGACCAGAAATCGGGTTCACCACGATCCGATTTCCGGTCTCATGATGAAATCGGTTTTAGTAATCTACGTTTTTATTTTATTTTATTTTCCCATGACAATTTTATTCCCAAGTAGTGATATATATTGAGATGTATTGGCATGAATACGAATCTCTGAAAACGAGCTTATTCGCCACTCTGTTGATTTGTTTGAAATGTGCTCTCTGGGATTATTTCAACAGTTGTAACAAATTTTCTTCCATAGAGTATGAGAAACGGTACGGAAATGAAGGTAATGGTTAGTTTTACAGTACACCATAACCATATAAACACCAATGAGAGAGGAGTTTGTTCCGATGGGGAAATTCACTAAGCCTAGAGTAGTTAGGAATTATCAAAGTATTTACATGCGATAGAAATGTTTGTGATAACTAACAAAGAGCACTGGACAGCTATTTCGTCCTGTTTCGGACTCGTCAGCATTGCGCACTTTTTGTGTCCTTGTTAGGACAAACGTTCGGGTTGGGACCTCAAAAGCCCTTACCCCTGAGCTACACGGTCGCTTGTCATCACTTTGTGCTAATGGCTCAATCAATTTTTATAGCAAGCTTAGATTAGCTCATTCGTTTGTTAACAGGCACCAGACACAAACACCCAAGAACATCAAGAGTGTCTGGTGCACCTTAACAAATGAATGGGTTAATCCAAGCTTGCTACTCTAAAACTTCTCAAAGCAATTCATGCACGAAGGCCGAACAATACAAATGAAGTGCATTGGTATAGTATTTACAAACAGTGTTATATAAAAGAGGGGTGTATTAAAAGCAATATATGCATTCGCAAAGGAAACAAAACGAAACTGGGAGTTCGGGGCTTGCAGCGAATAAAAGTAAACTGTGTGTCGTTACACTAACTTCGGTTGATGAAGATGACCACTCAGAAACGTCTGTTGCGGAAATTCATAACCCAATCGCCTCCAAGAAACATCGGAATCGTTTGCATTGTTCGTGATATATCAGAACCTGGACATCGTCTATTTTATCCACGAGGGAGCGAAGGTCACTTGAGAGAAATAGAAAGAATCTTCGTTTAATGAAACTTTGCCTCAGCGAAGCCCTNGAAGCCCTTAAGCCATATATATTAAAGGAATCTTGATACATACTTCTTAACCGTTTATTGCGATTACTCAGGAAGTGAGCACAAACCGAAATTTGGAGGTCAGGCGCGGAAAAACAAAGGTTTTATGATAAAGATGCCGTATGATGGTATTTTATCTTGAAAAATTAATGAATCCACGTAAAAGTGAAACTTCCAGAATCTCTTTTGCAAATGTGTAAAACGAATTCAATTAGACAATAGCACAAAAAATGGTGAATTAACATAATCACATAAACTAGACGTTTCAGGTTTTGAAATGCTATGTCAAAAACGGTCTACATAATGATCACTACCAGAACTGGAGCTAAGTAATGAAAATAAAGCAATGGAATTGCACTGTGGTGACGAAAAATTGAAATATGTAGAGTTTTGGAAGTGCTCACAGATAGTTCCAGTGGTATGTATAACGAACACTGATGACCCGTTGGTTATGACAAACCCTGATTCTGTCGAGAGAGAGAGATACGCGAAAGATCCAAAGAGATCCCAAACGGAAACGACCGATTGAATTCGGTACAAATGAGTTTCTATAATAATATCCTGGTATATCGAACATCGGTGCGAGCAGAAAGCACCTCAATAGTGCAGCCGCTAAAACAAGGGCGGGTTAAGAACCTCTACAGGATAGCCAAGGATTGTGATCGTTTAAGCGATAGACCAGCTCACGTAGCCAGCAGACGAGGAATGTGCAAACAAAACGGAAGAGACAAAATAGACTACTGGGTGGAGTTATGACCAAAGTCAATGAAACATGTGTGACCGCCATTGTTCAAAGTACATATACGAGAAATGCTGACAGACAGAGGGGTCATTCAGATCCGATTAAATGCTTTATAACTGGAAAAAAACAAGAGAAGTAATTAAGAAAGAGAAATTTCAGGGACAGGGGAGCAAAGAATGGAACGACGAACGGACAGTCATGTCATCAGAGTAGTGATGAAACGGGGACAAACCAACGTCTGATTATCATCAACCGGAATGATGCACGGACAAAAGTGTATTTAGTGACGTGGAGCAGTGCATAGAATGTCAACGATGCGAATAGAAGTGAAACACTGGGGCGCGTAATTAGTTAAGAGACGCAGACACCGAAAGTTGGGGAACGGGTGTGA